CAAAGCAGTAGCCTCCCAAAGTGGCGTAGCGATCTTCGAGCAGCCACCATCCAGCATGGCTTGGTTGGAGCCGGAAAATTTCCAGTGTTTACAAAACTTTCACGGACACCTCGCATGGGTGGATGCGTGCCAACATGGTATGCTGCTCTCCAAATCTTGGTGCTTCGCCAGCAATAATGCATGCATCCAGCACGTGGCAAGCAGATGCGCGCATCAACATAAGCACGCCAGCATAGCGGGAGTTCAAGGCAGCTCAGGCCAGTACCTGAGCACGCTAACAGCCGAATACCCGGCAAGTCTCGCAGCAAGCTTGATCAAACATTGCGCATTCAAAGTGAGCGCGCAACCCGAGGTCCGCCGCTTACACAAACCCTCCCCGCTTTCACTGCGCCCCGTGCGCCTGCGGGTATGCGATGGAGCTGGCGTGCGTTCAACACTCAATCCCTCAACCAAACCACCCGCTCACAATAGTCGCACGTGCCTGGCTACAGTGGCTGGACGAACAAAAACTCATCCCAAAAATTCTAGCCCATGTGGGCTCCGGCAACGCATCCCCCCCACTCTCGGAACAGCAATCCGAGGAGGCAGCACGGATAGCATTCCGCGCCATGAGCACGCCGTGCCCATCCGAGCTAGCGCCCGATGAAGGACAGCCGTACCGCCTGTCACTTTTGCATGTGCTGGCAACGGCATCCAATGACCCCGACCTCAAACTAGTGCCGCTGCTGGCAGAAGGCGTGCCAACAGGAGCTGTGTCGGACTTGCAGTGGCCGCCTAAGCCTCAAGCGGACCTGCCTAGTGAACTCACCGAGTGCATCGGCAACTGGAAAGCCGCTGAAGCGGAACCAGAAACAGTGTCCGCCTTGCTAGAAAAGGAAATTGCAAACGGATGGGTCACTCGTACCGGCATGTCCATCGAACAAGCCAGACAGCATTGGCATAAAGGCATAGCAGTTGGGAAGCTCAACGTCGTGCGTGCTGAAGGCAAAGACCCACGACTAGTCTTAGACAGCACAGTGTGTGGGGTGAACCCCAAGTGCGCCGTTCCAGAACGCATCAGCCTGCCAATGGCCTCAGACGTGCGCTTAGCATTCCTCCCCGAGGACACGCACTCGTCCTTTGTGGGGGCAAGCTTTGATTTCAAAGCAGCGCATAAGCAGATCCAAGTGCACCCCAGTGAACACGGCCTGCTTCTGTTTCGGGTTGCCGATGTCCTGTACCATTATAGGGTGTGCCACTTCGGAGCACGCTTCTCCGCATACTGGTGGCAGCGCACCGGAGCATTCCTCCTGAGACTACTGCACGGCATTCTGGGACTGCGCCCGCATCGCGCATGGTTGTTCGTGGATGACCTTTTGGCAGCACTGCGTCGCAGTGACGCAGACGCACAGCTGGCCCTCATGGTCATCTTTTTTGCAGCAATATCGGCCCCGATCTCCTGGAAAGTTCAATTTCAGGACAACCTCAATGCACGAGACCATCGAACTCACGCCAGAAAAAACCATAAAGTTGAAAAGACAGCTGCACGAGCTGCTCAAAGCAGGGAAGGTCAAGCGAAAACTTTTGGAGCAGGTTCTAGGCCTTCTCATTTGGGCTACCAGTCTGAGCCCCGAAATCAGATCCTGGCTGGCACCATTGTACACAGACCTGCGCTCGCCGCCGGGTTGCATGATCTCTGTCCATGCGCGTTTGTGGCCATCCTTCCTTTCAGCATTAGACGCCAAAGCCGTGCTCAGGTCAGCAGTGCACGGCATTTTTATGCCACCAGGCTCTAAAGTTCTAGAGTTCCAAGGGGCATGCATTCGCACGCCAGCCGACCTGCCTCGCGTTGTGCCTAGTCACAAATCCGCCTGGGTGCGCGTAGCGGACGCCTCCGCAGAGCACACTCGCCTGTCCAGGATGAGCAAACACAGCGTAGAATGGTTGCTGCAATGCTTCCATCTAGACCTCGCATGCCCGCTAAGAAGCAAGCCAATGCTGGCTTGCAAAGCAGCCGCGGATGCCTGCGCGGAAGGCAGTATAGTGGGCATAGGGGGATGGTTCATCTCCAGCAACTCCGTTTCTTGGTTCGCGGAAACGTGGCATTTCCAAGAAGTCCAGGAACAATGGCCATGCCTGACCAAAGAAGCCCAGCGTTACATCGCATGCTTCGAAACCTTGGCTCAACTAGCACTCATGCGTATCGCATGGTCCTGCGAGGGACAAGGCGTGTGTGGCATTTGCATGCCCGCAGGGACAGATAAGACGGCTTGCGAAGCCGGTGTTAATAAATTGTTCACCACTGCTTGGCCTTTACAAGTCTTTGTGCAACTTGTAGCTGCCTGGGCCCATAAGCACAAATGGTCCGTGATCGCGTCACACATCCCAGGAGAGCGCAACATCTGGGCGGACCAGCTTAGCAGAGGTAATACCTCCGCATTCCATCATTCCAGGCTCGACCAGAAGCCAGAGTGCGCTTCAGGCCGCATGACTTCTGGCCTCACGCATCAGCTCTCACGCTTCACCCGACGCACCGTGGAGACCCGAGCACGTGGCTGCATCGCAAACGCACTAAAGAGGGGGTGAGGTGATTTGACCGTTTGCTTAGAACTCTAAAGCGGGGGTATTCCGACAGGCTCCGCATGAGATGCAGGAAGATGGAGTGGACGCGCATCGTCACTCCACCTGCATCTCAGAGCCTGCACTTCTAAGCAACGCTCAAGTAAAAAAGCGCGTATCGAGTTGGCTCCGGTCGGTTGCTTTTTTCCCCGCATGTCCCTTTAGGCTTGAAGCAGTGACCAAGATTCTAACGAGCTGGAGGAGATTCGCAGTATTCTTCAGAGGCGAAGGGCGATGAAAGATGTGTTCAGAGTGATTGTGCAGAGTGAAGCAAGTGTGAGAAGACTGGAGAGAGAACATGCAACGGTGGTAGGATGCAATATGAAGGAGAAGCTGATGTATGCGTTATTATTGGAGCTGTCAGGAAAAGCAATGGCAGGAGGCTTGGAGCATGGAGACAGCGTGATTGTGTATGTACATTTGCAATATGTATTGAATGTGTTTTGCAGTATTTGGACACTATATGCCGTGGTTGGATTTCTGATGTGTATTGGATTTCTTAAATGGATGGAGCACCGTGAGAGAAAGGTGTATGAGAGGTGCATGGCAGGGTGTCGAGGTATTGCAGATGGAGAGGATTTTCAAAACCGACTGGAGAGATTGCATTACAGTGTGGAAGACATGATTTCGCAGATGCAAGCTTTGCGAGAAGACGACCGCGAGACTCGACAGATGTGGTGAAAGGACAAATTCAGGAGTGGATTGGCCGATTCGTGGTCATTGAGAGAGCGGTGGAGCGACAGCAAAGCAAGGAGATCAGCGATGCTGAGTTTGCGAGGCGAGATCCAGAAGTCAAGAGCCAGAGCAGCAGCTATCTGGATGATACAACGTGGGCAGATCAGCTGAGGGAAGAAGGCATAAATCCGCTGACTGGGGAGACGTTGACTTCAGATGGTTCAGGAAGTGAGTGCAGTTGATTTTCTTTCCTATGTGCGTGGCAGATGGATGGATTTGCATTTGCAGATGAGTTCCAAATTTTTCCCATTTGGCTTGATATAAAGGGCCAGGGATTTTCACAAATGCGTAGCGCCTTGAGCTGTATAGACTGAAAGGCGAGCATGGTTTTTCCCCAAAAGCCACTTTGAAGATTGCCACATGGCAAAGCCACATGGCAAAGGCGGGGTGATAAAGGTTTACGCTTGGAGCACCCACTCAAACATGTGTGTGCATGATGTGTAACATCAAGATGAACCTTTTTAAGTTTCTAGTTGGAACGCTTGGCAACAGACCATGTGTTACCGATGAGGCGCTTTTCGGTTCGCAAGGAAAAGTTAGGAGAAAGGCGACGTGGGAAAATAATGTTTGCTGCAAGGTGCGAAGAGAACGCCTCATTTAAACTCCGTTCTTATGCAGGCGATGAAGCTGAGCAATGGCAAGCAATGCCGTTCTTGCCATGCGTGATAATCTCATTTGCATAAAAGTTCCCGCGGGCACTGCGAGAGGTGGCTTTTCTAAGGCCACAGCTACAGCGACGTTTTGGAGGGTTGGGGCTGGGTTTCAGCTGTCTAAAGTGGGATCGGCAAGAATTGCGAGGCACATGCGCATGAACTTAAAGTGATTTATGGAGAACAAAGTTTGAAGGCCGTGACTTTATGCAATGTCAAAACGCCCAACGCGTTCTTTGCGTGGTTCCTGCTGGTCAAAGAGAAGCTCGGTGAGGCAATGGGTTGCTTGTCGAGGGCTGTGCAGCCCTACCACGCAACGGGGGGCTGTGCTTTTGAGTTGTTTGCCCCCTTTGTTGCATGAACCGCATGGAGTTTGAATCTGAAGTGTTTGGTTCTCCATCTGGTGCGAGAAGGTCGGTCGTCCAGAGCAGGCTTCACCAGCTGACGCTAGTTTCATCTTTGTTTTGCATGAGGGAAGGAAGGAACGGCGTGCTCTTACACACATGGCTCCGCAATGTTGAGCACATTGTTTCAATTGTCTTGGGAAAAACTGGCATGCCATGTTAGACAACATGCATGCACACCTTGGAAACACAACTTGACTTGGACATTTGTTTGCCAGAAACTCTGCTGCCAAAAAACGAATCAACACAATTTTCTGTCACTTTGTGATCATTGCTGTATTTTGCCCAACTTGGCAAAACCTATTGGAACATTGCACACAGGAAGTGCCGCAGCTGGCTTGGCACTGCCTTCTCAACAAGACACACACACACACATATATATATATATATGTATATATAGGATACACATGCACAATTTCAATATGAGAAATACATACACTTTTGTACATACATACATGTATATGTATATATACACATGTATATATATATATATATATTATACACACATACAAGCACATGCTTCGCCTCAATGTACATCAATGTACATCTCTCATTTTTTGTTGCCAGGTTTTTCGAATCAGTCGAGCGACAGCTCTCTTCCCTTTGGAGAAGTGTGATATTCGTGTCATGTGGTAGGCAAGCATGAGTTGCACACACAGATTGCTTCTAGGAATCCAGCGTCCTTCCCGCACCTTGCAACGCCCTTGTGGAAGGCCCTGATGCAATGGAGACTTTGCGTCGCGGCCGCTGCTGTGCTGCTGGCTTTGCACGCGCTTCGACGCTTGGAGGAAGACGTCATCCCAAAGCCCTGGGCGCTCGAAAGCCTGGAGCAATCAGGAACTGCGCCCGAACACGCACCCGAAGCTCCGGTGCCATCGCAAGACTTGACAAGGGTGCCGAGCCACGCAGAACTGGAAAAGGCGAAGTGGCGTCCTCCGGACTTTGGCCAAGTGCCAGCGGCTTGGCGTATTTCAGCTTTTGACGAGTACCCCTATTGTTGTCATTGCTTTTGGAGTGATTGCCAGTCCTTTTGAGACCAATTTTGCAATTCCAGGTGCTGGATGATGCGATCTGGCAGGCTAGCTTGGATGGATGTGCACAAAACTCCACTTTGCACGCATTCTTGCAGCGCCTGTTGCAGAACCAGACCATAACGATCCAAGTATATGGTGGGAGCATGACGTATGGTATGGGTTGCTGTGCGCCATATTCCTGCGACAGGCCTGAGGGCAAGGCACCATGTTATGTGCACTGCGTCAAAATGTTGCGGTTGAGTCTCACACATAGTTTCCTTTACCTTGCATTTACAGTGTTAGCTCGTTTCTGCCACGGGCACTTGTGTGAAGCGCCCAGATTAAATGCGATGGGCGTTTCTTTTAGCTTGGCTTTGTAGAGGTGCGACTCCGAACTGGCAGGACCAATGCGCGGGGATGGCCATGCTTGTTTCAATTCTCAACAGGGAAGTTTCTTGCATCGTTGACACAAGGAACTTTTTTCTCGCACGGAGTTCTCCCGCAGTGTTTGCAGTTCACCTGGGATGATTCCAGACGCACCTCTTGTAGTGATTGCGGCAGTAGCAACTGTTAAGATGTCAAGCAGCCTTTTGCAGCTTTTCCGTGAGAAGCAAGATAGTGACCGTGGACTTTGCCCTTGGTCAGGATCCTCAAAACGGGGTCTCAAACAAATCACAAGCCCGTGTCCCTTAAAGTTGGCTTCCTTTTGGATTGCCCAAAAAGGGGAGCAAGGCAAGCGACTTCAGGTGGGTCGACTGCTCCTGGGGCGCCCAGCTGCAGTCGGCCCTTGAGCAGCTGCGCCCGGGGCGCGTGCGGCTCGAGCACCGCGCGAGGCGGGGCTGCAACCTCCCCTGCGCGCTGCCGGAGGCGAGCCGCGGGGCCTCCTGCACGGGGAGCGGGAACGAGCCATGCGTGAGGAGATGGGTACCGTAAAGTTTTGTGGTTTCAAAGGAACCCACCTGCAACTTGCAAGTGATGTTTGGAGAATCATGATGTATCCCAAGGGTTTCCATCTTTTTTTGGAGGATGGATGATTTGCCACAAATCGGAGTAGATGTCCGGCCAACTTAATTGCATGGGCTGTTGGGTAGACAATTTAGATGCCAGGTGACAAATGCCTTGGGGTCTATTCGGAGGAGTTTTCAGGGTTCGGAATGAACTTGAAGGGAATCCCCCGTGAAACCAGGCGTCGGATGTGTACCGCTGCTTGTGACCGTTGTGGACAGGTTTTAGGGAATCTCACTTGTGAAGACCCAAGAAAATGCCACGACATCGTCACTTAGGACACTGGTTGTTTGCACCCCGGTAGGCTGGGGCGCCAGTGGAAGAAAGGTGAACAGGGGGGGACCATGGGAAAGTAGTCCAAGACCCTCCTGGCTTCTATGATTGGAGAGAGGGTACTTAGATCTTTTCAGATACTCTATGGCAAGTTTGCTTGCGAAAAAGTCTCGGCCTTTCCGCCCACCACCGCTTGCTGATCACGGTTTGTGCTACTTGCCGCGAAAACCGGCAGGTTCACTCAGGATCATATTGACGGATTTGCCAGGTTCATATCAAGAGCCGGAGAGATCAGCAAGCAGCTAAGGAAATGTTCTCCGGATCATGATTTGGGGCCTGCAAGTGAATCATGAGCTTTGGGCGTTTGGGACAGTGTGAGGCTTGTTCAGTTTTTTTTGGTATGGCTCAACGGTGTATAGACAGATCGAATTGTGGAAGATCTGCTCATTGTGGGTCTGATCTTTCCCCAACAGCTGAAAGCTCTGGGGTCTCAGCCCAGATAGGCTTGAGGGTGGTCCGGGGCGGCCCTGAGGTAGGGTTCCTCGGGTTCCACCATGTTTTCCACGAGGGTTCCACACTAAAAAGAGCACCCCGCATGCTGTTGGGGATATCATCTGAGCTTATCGAAGAACTTAAGGGGACTCCCTGGCTGAGTGGGAGAGGGTTTTGGGCTTCCCGTGGAGGTGGTGCTGGCTCAGCGGGGATCTTTCCGGGCTCCGGATCTGATCATCCTGGACTTCGGGCAGAATGGCTGGGGCGGGAGCCCCGAGAACCTCGAAGAGTTCATCCGGGTGTGTCACCTCTTCATGCCCCAGACCCTGCTGCTGATCATATGGAACAAGGAGCCGAAATCACGGGCTTGGACTCAGCCAGTTCATACGGAACAACTTGGTCATGCACGCCACGCCTTGGCGGTTGATGCTCCAACTCTTACACTCCAGATTGAAGTTGACGTGTGAGCTTGACTTGTTTGGGCTGGATATGCCTTTCATGAGTCAGCCCACCCGCACTTGTGTTTCACAGCCATTGCCACTTGACCCAAGCTCTGCTCCCTCTCCGGCTTCCAGGACATGACCAATCTGGATCCTTCCAAGGGTGATATCAAGAACTTGCAGAGCTGCCGTGCACTCTCAGGCAGGGCTTTCGGGCTTCGGCCAATCGACAGGTTTTGGTTTTCATGCATTAAGTTCAAAGAGTTTGTCAGTTGGGCAAGTCAGATGGCACCCTCCACCACGCTGTAGTGATTTCTACCGACAAAAGGACAATCACTCCTTAAAGGACACCATATGGGATATTCCCTCATTCCCTGCCTATCGCACCAGCAAGAAAAAGTCCCATCTATCTCAAGGGTTCTTCCTGAGAATACCAGCAGTACACGTGGAACGCGCGTTGCCAGGCCACTACGGTATTCCCCTACTCAACTTCCAGGCTGCCATGGAAGAGTACACACGTCAGGGGGGCAACTGGTCACAGCTTTGGCCCCGGGTGCTTCCTGAAGAACATCACCCTCCCTGGCGTAGCCCGGCCATTGGCTGCGGCTGACTGGGATGTTTGGGTTTCTTGGGGTTTCGATATGTGGGCGGCTTGGCTGTTTGAGGTGATTTCTTGAGGTTTTGGTTGTTTGCCCCTGTCTTTTTTTTCCACACGCGAGCGCAGCAAACATTGTGAAGACACGTCTTCATTCTTGAGCCAACGCGTCGGCGTTATGCCCATTGATCGGATGTTCATATCTTGGCTGAGAGGCCTAACTCCAGCGAGCGCCAGAGGAAGTCGTTGTATCATCGCACTGCCTCGCAAGGGTCGTACGCCTCTGGGCACCATTGAAAAGCGCGTCAGCTGGTAGCATTCCACGATGTCAATCGTCCTGCAGATGATCCCACTTTCATCTTCGTCCAAAGCACTTTTTGGCTTGGATGCCTAGGCAGTGCAGGACATGAGAAGAAGTTTCTTGAAGATGCATTGTCGCTGTTGGGACCGTGGCAAGTCCGTGCCTGTTTCTCTCGGGCCAAGCATCTTTGATATGAGCACTTCTATGTCAGGAACTCATGCCTACTTTACGGACATGCTGGCTTATTGGTTCAATCGCCAGCTGGGCAGCTCAGAAAGCTCGCTGCAACTTGCGCCGGTGCTGCGTCAGCCTGATGACCTGAACGTGGATCAGGCTTGGATTCCGCCATTGCACTGTGGCAGCACCCCAATTGCTGCACGCATGTTTCTACTATTTGCATTGCAGTGTTTCTGCCTAGCGTGTGTTGGGCGTGCACAGAAGCGTGAAGAGTTTGTGCTTTGCGGCCACAGACCCGCAAGCATCACATCCAATGTGTCAAACGCATGGCACTGTGACCTTCCAAGGTACAATGTGAAGCTGGAGAAGATCCAGGTCCATGCTTAAGTGGCTGCTCCCTTCACTCTTTCTGCAAAAACATGTTCAAGACGGCTTTTGGCAGGTTTCACAGATAACAACTGCGTCTAAGCCTCGCCCTTTTTCGGACACCCGCGTGCTATTTTGCGGAGATGACCGTACCCTGAGGTTTGCCTCTTCCCTTTGACTTCCCACGTGGCGCGTGAGCCAAACGGCAGCCCTACAAGGAGCCCAGAAGGCCGCTGGCAGCTATACGAGGATCGGCGCGACAAGCCAGGCGTGTTGGTTGAGGTAGGGTTGGGACACCAAAATCGCGTCTCATGAATTGGCTGTGGGTAAAAAAACATCGGTTCCCCAAATGGAGTGGCTTAATTTTGACGCATACCCAATTGGCTGTGACGTATTTGGCTCTCTTTGTATTCGACAAAGTTTGGCGATTTGCCCAGACCCGGCCAGGCTGGATTACCATGGAGCCTTCCTCTGACAAGCTGCGTTTCGAGGTGAACTTCAGCCGAAAAGCCCGGGTGGTGATACAGCGCCTTGGGAAAGCTGGCCCTCGCACAAAGAAGCTGGAGGGCCCCTTTGTGTGAGGTGCCAAATGGCAGGGATGCTATGAACCCAGAAAAAATGACACCCTAGTTGATGAGGGTGTTCCATTTTGAGGGAAGCCTTTACTTGGCGTGCCCTTTTCGTCGCTGTGCTGGTTGTGAGGGAATGAGAGGACGGCCCGTTTTGCTTCATCACTTGTGGTTACCTTGGAGATGGGTATTGAGTACCAGCAAGCTGTCTCGGGCAGAAGGCTGAACCAGACTCGTCGCTCCTGCACTGCACAATCGCGGTCGTAAGGTACCTGCGATCATATGCGAACATTGGAACTGCGGAGGTTGAAATTGAAGGCCTGGACTGGTGCGGGGCATTCATGTTGGTCAGAGTTTTCATGCCATGAGTTTGCGGGACTAGCATGTCAAGTCGTATCTCGATAATATTGCTTTCGCTGTTCCCGACCTCTTTGAAGTACTGTTGGATGGTCAGTCTGCTTGTGAATCAACTGGCAAGCATCGGCATGCGGAGGCTCATGGCTTTGGCAGCACGATGGGAAGAGCCATGGCAAAGCGGCAATTGGAGCGAATGGTAGACGTAACATTGTTGAAACGGGTGCGTCTTTCTTTGGGGGCCCCCAAAATGGTGGTTTTCTCATTGGTTTCCTTTCAATATCATCCCTCCAAGCCGAAATGGAGAGAATGGATTGGCTCATCTTTCAGTCGCAACTCTCTCGCGTCCGGCTGCAACTTAAGTTGCAACAGGCAACTGATAAGAAAAGAATCATGTCGCTCCTCTCGTCCTTTTGATTGGATTCAGCAACCCAGAATGGCTGGGGAGGCACACACCTCCCCCATCTTTGTGCCGTGACGCCTAAAGGGACATACACAGACATTTCGTATTCCCCAAAACTGCTGTTCTGGGTGTTCCCTTTTAACCGACTCAGTTCCGCGGATTCCACCCTAGTTCCTGTAAAACCCACTCAAAATGCGCGCGGCATCAGCCCAAAAGGGTCGCCTCGGGCTAAGGAACCTGCAGGGCGGGAAGGGCCGGAGTTTCAGAGCGGCGGCGGAGTGGGGGCACCGCATCTCCGTGACGCAGACGGTGGGAGCGAGCGTTGGTGGAGTTGCCCGCGATTTTTACAGGGACACCACCCATTTCATATGATTTTTTTTGAGGGTGCCTATTTTCTTTTTTGTGGGCGGTTTAAGGGGAAGCCAAATGTAAGCAGAAGCCAATTTTGGAGGTTCGGATTGCCGTTTTGAGACAAACCTCAGCATCGCGCTATGAATGTTGAGAGGGGGCCGCCCCAAAAGTGGTTGGCAGACATGAAAACCCACACCTGAATGATGTTTCCACGACGGGGTCCCCAAGTAAAGTTATGCCCATGGGGTGTGAGCGCTTCTCAAAATGGACTCCCTGTTATTAGGTATACGAGAAGCCAAAAGGAAACTGACCATCGGGGACCCGTCTTGTGAGAAATATCCGTGTGTCAAAACAGGGATTTGGACCTTCATTTTTTCCGTTGGCATGGGGATTGTTACACGGGGATTTTTCACCAACTACTTTTGAGGGTGTTGCAACCATCAAAAAGGATCCCCAGAATTGGCTGTTTTCCTTTTGTTTATCCATCTAACCAAGTGCCCCCAAAAAACGCACCCAGCGAGTCTGAGGGTGGCGCCAAAGTCACTTGAGAGCGTGACGGGAGCGTGAAGGGGCAACAATGACGCGTGCGCGCGTGCGCGCACAAGCACACACACACACAAAAAACCATTCAGTCTTGCTTGCGTTGAAGCAAACAAAGTCAGTGTACTGGGTCCGTCAAGGCTCTGATACTTGCCAGTCAGATTGGAAGGACAGGATTGAAGTGGGAGGTCGGAGAGTGGGGAAGGTTGCATGCAAAGTTGGGTGAAAGTAGACGGCGCATTTTCATAGATTTGGATTTGTCGTTCCCCTTGCTTGCCCACATAATTGGAATTGTGCTATGTACTTTTATCCAGGCGTAATAAGCTTGCAATGTGGTACCCCTCTGGGCCCATGCATGCTTCAGTTTCCAGGTCATGCTGATTGGCGCGAGCTTGCCAAATGCGAGCTGGGAGACGGGCGCTGTCTCCTTCCGACTCGCAGATGGCCCCAAGTTCAAGGCAGGGTGCGATTTGTTGTTCCCAACAGCTGGCGTCGTTCAAGCAATCACAGCTTTTTGCATCAAGGGGCTGAATCGCCCCTGGCTCAAGGTTATCTCCGTGATCTCGTGCTGATCGCTTCAGCTGCCCCACGTCTCGGGCCACTTGAAGCACGGCGCCAGCCGTGTGCGACGACGGACGGCCTGTCGAGCTCGCGAAGATGGACCGCATGGCCCACTAGGCAAACGACAAGTTGTCAAAAAGGGGGGGCGACAAATCCACTTGTGTGGTGGGTTGGGAAGCCAACGACAAGACCAGGTTTTGGGCTTGGCATTTAAACTCAGCAAAGTCAGCTGCGATTTGGGGACAACTGCACCGGGGGCACAAGGCTCAGCCGATGTCAAGGTAAGCATGAAAAAATGCGCTGATTGGCATGGTTGGCTCCCTTTCAACTTATTTGCATGAACTCACGATGCATTTTGTAGTACGCGTTTTGGGGAATGCGTGAGCACTGGCCTTTGGCAAGGGCTGCCCTGCACTATCGACATCGTTCCGGAACATGCTGGCCGCAGGATAATGATGACGGATGAGCAAGGATGTACACAATCTGGGTTTGACTGCTCCATGACAGCTATGACACAACGGTTCGGATCGTTGTTGGACAAGTCAAACAGCGACAAGTTGCACTGCTTTTTCGTAGTAAGATGCACACACATGTGAGCAGACATAGCTCCAACAAGCAGGAACACACATGAACACACTTGGTGCAACGCTTTCTGACTGAAACCTGCAACTTCACTTTGTATTTTTATTTTTATTTGATCATCCACTGCATCCGGTGGCGCAATGGCTACAGGCAGTGGACCTGAGAAATGACGCCCTGCCTGGGCTCATGTCCTTTGTCTATGGCCGTTGTTGATTGACTAGTTCTGCTGCTCGCAGAAGCCTGGTTTCCTCTATTTGTTACTTTTTCACACTACCTGGCTCATGGTGTTTTATTTCAAGACATCGAACTTGTGCAGTTCAACCATGAGATGGATTCAGGCCTTTTTGCACCGAGTGGTCGGTTTCAGTGTCAGTTGGGGCATGATGAGCATAGAGATTCTTGTGGTTGGCGTTGAATAGTTAACAATATTGGCTTTGTGTAAAGCCAGAAACACGCAATAGCTTGTGTTTGAGCAGAAATGTAACTCAAGGCATGTTTGTCTTGCCAGTTCGCCTTTGCGCGCAGTGGAAGGCTTACCCGGCCTTCTGAAAGAGATCAATCCAGAAGCGGCAAGGCGCAGCTGTCAGTGGAGTGGGGGAGCCAGGTGTGGTCGCATGCCTGATTTGAGATTGCTTTTGCCACAAAAAGTTTACGGAAAAGTGTGGTTTATGTTGGATATGATGATATGATGTTAAGCAATGATGACGGTAATTGCGATGGTGAGGAAAATGATGATGATGATGATGATGATGATGATGATGATGATGATGATGATGATGATGATGATGATGATGATGATGATGATGATGGCGGCTGTGGTGGTGGTTACGAGAATCACGAAGAAGAGAACAAAGAGGAAGAAGAAGAAGAAGATGAAAGAAGAGGAGGAGGAGGAGGAAGAAGAAGAAGACGAAAAAAGAAGAAGAAGAAGATGAAAGAAGAGGAGGAGGAGGAGGAGGAAGAAGGAAAAAGAAGAAGAAGAGGAAGAAGATGAAAGAAGAGGAGGAGGAGGAGGAAGAAGAAGGAAAAAAAGAAGAAGAAGAGCAAGAAGAAGAAGAGCAAGAAGAAGAAGAAGAAGAAGAAGAAGAAGAAGAAGAAGAAGAAGAAGAAGAAGAGGAAGAAGAAGACAAATATTAAGACACACAACAACATGCTAAACTCAACAATACTGGGACAAGTACATATATGGTCAGGATAATACTGAAGAAAGGCACTATGAAGAATGCAAGAGGAGGAGGACGATGGAATATGTAGAATAAGAGGAGGAAAAGGAGGAGGAAAGAAAAAAAACACGATGACCGTGAGGGTGATGACGATGAACATGAATATATCGATGACGAGACTGATCGTGTCAGTGACAATGACCACACCGACGACAATGATGCTCAGACCAACCAATGACGTAACAACCATGGCCAGGCGTGTGACTTTTCACTGTCACTTTGGCAGTGATCATACACTATGACTGTGACGAAAGTGATTCGTGACAAGTGACAACACATAGATGATGGGTGACACCCTTTTCGGGTTTCACGCCGTGGTGATATTTCCGTCGTTTGGTTATCGGTTGGTGACAGTCATCTAACTGATGCTTTTGTTCTTGCGGATGTGCTCTGAATGCTGATGTTGTTGAAGATGATACAATTGGTGATTGACACGCACCATACTGACACTTTCAATGAGGGTGATGTTGCCGTGTCGATGCGGCTTGGCCAGCGTCATTTTCGTCAACCACTTCTGCTGTCGCCTCAAGACCACTTCTGCATTCCTTTTGGCACTGCCAGGTTGTTGCAGCTGGTTCAGAAGCCGCTTCCATCGATAGCACAGGAGACGGAGCTCGCATGGAACAATTCTCAATGCAGCGGCCATGTGCGCCGGCGAGTGCAGTGAATCGACAGGACCGCAGTAAGAGCTCTCCCAGATGCACCCGCAAGCTGGAGGCCGGGCGACAGAGGCTAGCCAGCTGGCCTCGTTTTTCGACCGACCGCCTCCCCAGGCCACTTTTCCTTTGTGGCAATTCCACGGACAGCCTCATGTGTTCGGGCCAGCGACAAGCAATGTCAGCCAAAGCTAGCTGGCTTTCAACTTTGAGAACAGTGGTGTTTGAAGCACACACGCACAAACACACGTTCTGTCCCTCCCTCAGGTTCCTATGTTTGGTCACCACATTTGCGGGTTCTATCCCTCCCTCATTTGTGTTTGATCCTTGCCTGGAAGCCCAAATACTCGGCATCAGCATCTCCTTTGCAGGCACCCAAGCATTGGAGCCAGACGTGAATTTGGCCAAATGGAGAAGCTGAGTTGATCGTTGCGCAGACAGCTTGGCATACAGCTTCACCCAGGCATCGCGCATACACAATTCGGGACACATACTTCCAGATGCTATGTACAACATACTATGTATCATATTTACATTTTCTATATTTTATGCAACATGTATATATATACACATGTATCACATGATATATACATATATATATATATATTGATATGTATAGTTGTATATATATATACACATGTATCACATGATATTTATATATATATATATATATATTGATATGTATAGTTATATATATATATATAATGGTACGCCCCCCCCCCACCCCCCCTGGTGCCTACCGGATTTTAACCACCTTCTTCAAGACTTTTTGTATTTTTTGGGCCAAACTCGCATTTTTTTCAAATTCTGGGATTCAAGATTCAAGATTCAAGAATTCAAAACAATCTTTTTCTGGAAATCTTGAATCTTGAAGCCCATTTTTTTTTGGATGCAATATTCAAGATCAAAATTCAAAATATTTTTTTTCTGGAAATCTTGAATCTAGGGGTTCTAGGGGAATACTAGGGGAACACTCAGGGAATACTAAAGGGAATATTGAGAGTGAATACTAGGGGAGTACTCAGGGAATACTGGGAGAATACTAGGGGAATACTGAGGCAATACTGGGGTAGGCCAATACTGGGGAAATACTTGGGGAATATTAAGGGAGCACTAGGGCAATACTAGGAGAATACTATGGGAATTCTAGGAGAATACGAGGAGAACACTCAGGAAATATTGGGGGAATACTAAGGGTGAATACTAGGAGAATACTGAGGCAATACTAGGGGAGTATTAAGGGAATACTAGGGGAGCACTGAGAATTACTAGGGATATACCAAGAGATACTAAAGGAATACTAGGGCAGTACTAGGAGAAAAGTAGGTGAATCCTAGGGGATTCTAGGGGATTTCTAGGGGAATTCTAGGGGAACACTCAGGGAATACTAGAAGAACACTCAGGGAATACTAAACGAATACTATGGGTGAATACTAGGAGAATAGTGGGGGAATACTGAGGCAATACTAGGGGAGTATTCAGGGAATACTAGGGGAGCACTGAGAATTACTCGGGATATACCAAGAGAATACTAAAGGAATACTAGGGCAATACTAGGGGAATACTTGGGGAATATTAAGGGAATGCTAGGGCAATACTAGGAGAAAAGTAGGGGAATACTGGAATTCTAGGGGAATACTGGGGGAATACTAGGGGAATACTAGCAAACCACTCAGGGAAATTTACTGGAATACTAAGGGAGAATACGAGGAGAATACGGGAATACTGAGGAAGTACTAGGGGAGTATTAAGGGAATGTTGCCAGAGGGGAGCTCTGAGAATTACTCGGGATATACCAAGAGAATACTAAAGGAATACTAGGGCAATACTAGGGGAATACTTGAGGAATATTAAGGGAATACTAGGGCAATACTAAGAGAAAAGTAGGGGAATACAGGAATTCTGGGGGAATACTGGGGGAATACTAGAGGAATACTAGCAAACCACTCAGGGAAATTTACGGGAATACTAAGGGAGAATACGAGGAGAATACGGGAATACTGAGGAAATACTAGGGGAGTATTAAGGGAATGTTGCCAGATTTTGAATCATCTGCTTCTTGCCATGATGGACTGCAAGCCCATTCGTTTGTGCTCAAAATCTATTGCAAACAAATCTAAACTCTACAGCAAAACCTAGGCACCAGGGGGGGGGGGGGGCGTAGCATATATATATATATGGTCAGCCCCCATGATCTACCTGTACTTCCTCGAGGGACAAACACAGTGTTATATATATATAGACACACTTTTTTGCTTTGAGATGCTTTAGCGGTTTTTTGAAGTGTGTTCCAAACTATATGCTGGTCAGAATGCCTTGGCTGGCTTTAGCAGACGTGCTAGGGCATTCATTTGTAAGTATGACACATGGTGCGGGTAGCCCAGACTTGGAAACAGCTTGAGAGTTCACAGTTTGGTTGTTTTTTTAGGTGCTGTGGCATTGATGGAGAGACAGACCAGTTTGAGTCATAGAGCTCGTTGGCTGCCAAACATTGGCATGGCCTCAAAATGTTGTAAGGTCCGCCACTGTCTATCAAAAGCCCCAAGACCTTTGAAGCAGAGGATTTGTGCCTTTATTGGAGTTGCTCAAAATGCTGCAAGGCCAAAACGAACAATCTTTGGCGGCCAAAGAGCTCCAAGGCCAAACATCTGTTTTTGGATAGCGGGGGATTGAGGGGTCCGGGGGGCACTTTGGAGCTGCTTGGGCTTTGTAGAATTCGTTAGCATGTTGAAGCTCGGAGTGTCGAAGCAGATTTTTCCAATCTTCAGTCTAAAGGCCCAAAGTTTGTTTTCTTCTTTTAATGTCTTTTTTGGGAGCTGTGTGGGCTTTGAAGGACTTGTTTTGTTTTTGGGCACCTTACAGCACTTTTCAACCAGAATGCGGACGGGTGTCATCTCGCAGATCTCGCAAAGCCGGCTCGTTTCGTATCCCCCGAAGCTCTGCTCTAAGCACTGCTGGTCCAGGAACATTCAAATCCTTAAAGGCGCCTATTGAAATTGAAGCTAGCGATTCTGCTGGCATTCTTTCCTTGTTAAAGTCTGTTTAGGATTCTAGGTAAAAGATGAACATAAGAAGTCCTTCTGGGCAAGAAGCAAATTTTAATTTGATCAAAATTAACCCTACGTAAAATCTAGTGAAATCCTGCTTGCTATGTAAACTATGATTAACATGAGAATCCCTTCTGGAAAGAAGCAAATCCCTTAAACTCTTCTTTGACATAAGATTTCTAGTCAAACCGAAGTGAAGTCCTCCTGAAAGAGGACATCCTATTTCACTCCAATTAAAGCTACAATTTTCACTAGACCTGTTTCCTTACTTTCTTTAATTTTCCATACTCATTAAACCATACAAAACTCTTGGGACAGGACTTACACGCTTAGCACCCAATCTGAAATCAAAGGGACATGTTTCAAGTTTGTTTGACATCCTCTTGAAGAAGAAGACCCTATTTCGATTCTACTTGGAATCAGACATTCTACTAGTCTTTGTTCCTTCAAATCCAGTTTGAAGTCATGCTTAGAAACATGCTATCCAACTTCTAGTCAAACCAATAAATTATTCTAGAGTTCTTTCCTATTAAGTTCCCATTACAATTTGAAAGAAGAGGTCACATTAAAAACAAACTGAAATCCGTTTAAAAACAAGGATATCCTGATTGAATTTTGATTGAAGCTAGAATTTCTACTGGAATCCTGTCCTTATTCGATGTTCATTCAAAACACGCAACGCAGGCAAAGGGCAGCTTATACACATATAATTATATATATATATATATGTACACACACACACACATACACGTCTCTCCCTTCGGCATTCCCGACTCTTCCCCAAAAGAGGATTTCTTCTCATGCAAGGCACCGGGGAGATTCTGCTGGCCTGGCTTTGCAGAGGCCGTGGGCCGAAGGGCTGAATGGCCCGGCTTTGCATCTGACTGAGAGGAATCCATGGGACCATGTATTTGGAGAAATCCAAGAACGTGTGCGCAAGTGTCCAGTTTTTCCAGCCAGCGCACTTTTCTCAGCACCATGTCATAGCCGGGCCCGTGCCTGCAGTTTCACACGATGAGATCCTGATGATTCTTTGTGCTCTGACGCGAGTGCAACTCTTGCAACGATTCGCAGGCACTGGAGCGCAACAGGCGGGGCCAAAGCAGCAAGATGAATCCAGCTGATTTCGCGGATGTTTTGAATGGCCCGTGAATGGCCAAAGGGTTTTTCCATGCGGTTTTGCTCCGAGGCCTTGTGACCCTGGCGTGGCATCCTTAGTTACTCTGGGATTCTTGGAGTTGCCATATGGAAAGCGGAGGATTGGAGAGGGTCAGCAAATCGGCATGACATCATACTATTTGAAATCTTCTTGGCTGTAAAGAGAGAGAGAGAGAGAGAGAGAGAGAGAGTGAGATAGAGAGAGAGGGAAGGAGGGAGGGAGGGAGAGAGAGCAAGAGAGCCGCTGAATATTCTGTTCGCAAACGGGAAAGGTCGAGCCTGTTGGCCTCACAGCGGCCGTAAGATGCAAGATTACGCCTAAAAGCATCTTGTGTTTTGTGAATGCCCAAATAAAATGACTGCTTAAAAGTCTCGGTGCAAGTCAGTTGCCCTTTTGCATTCGGGTTCTATGATTGGCATGCAGATTAGAGAGAAAACGAGAGCAAGGCGGACTGTGCGGTCTGTTCGACCGGGCTCGCAGGATCAGGATGAGGGCGCGTTTTTATCTGCCTCGCCAGATTTTCAACTCTTCCTATACCTCGGTGCCAGCGGGGCTCTGTTCACCTGAGAGTCATTCCCTCACCAGCCCATGCCCTCAGTTGCAATCGCCACACACATATCAAGCCAGAGCTTCGTTCAGCGAAAAGTCATTCCCTCCATACTGGCAGCCACACACACATTGCAAGCCAGAGCTCAGCTGGGAGTCATTCTCCGGGTACCCTTCGCCTTTGATGCGAGCTTAGAGCTCGGTGGCTCAGCCCTTTGATGGTGCTGGCCGTCGATGTGCCAGGACAGGACGATCTGCCCCGAATTCGAAGCCAGTTTCCTTGCTAAAGCAGAAGCCTGCGGATTGTGTCACACTTTAGCATTTCTTTCGCCTGCGTACACTTGCGCTGCAGTCTTCTCCTATCCGATCTCTCCAAGAGTTGTGTCCTCGAGCTGCGAATCCTTTCATTGATTCCTTCATGGGTAGCGATGTTCTGCGATCACTCGACTCTCAGAGACATGCAAAGACATTTGATTGATCCTTTTTCAGGAGGACAGTCTTCCAGCCGCGTTTTTACAGACATGGCTCCTTAAAAGATACATTTTGCCCATTTGAAACATGGCTTTTTCCACCAAAGTAAAGGGAAACCAACATTTACAAGGCAATGTTCAGGTGTATAATGTAAGGATCCCTGTTATAGGCTTGAACCCGGGCCGTTGCCAGGTCTCTTGCGTTTGCGCGTGGTAGGGCCGGGGATGGGTGACTCGCCTTCAGACAGCCCGCGGAGCAGCACCATGGAGATGCCGGTCTCCAGCCCCAGGCAGGGCTGCGTTCGAGTCGGTCCCAGTGGAGGCACTCCGCGCGGCTTGTTTTTGGGGGCGCTGGGAAGGTTTCGGGGGAGGGCTTGGGGTCTTGAAGTCTGAAGGGAAGTCATGAAGCAGAAATCCCATCCGAGGAGCGAGGCGAGCAGCGTCTCCAGGAGCGAAGTTAGCAGCTACTCTGACGCCTATGGGATGGCTGATGGCACCCCGACAGGCTCTGGAACTCGCTTTTGAACTGGATGCGTCTTGTTCTTGGGGGGCGGGCCTCCATTTGGTGGTGTTCCTTTCGGCTTTCCTTTAATGTCGCCAAAAAAGGGGTACCCTCCAAAAAGAAACAAAATCGCTGCGGAGAAGCCGTTTTGATGACTGAAGATGGCTTTTTTTCTGAAGTGACGTTGATGGGCTTGTGCCAACCTAGATTCCATGTTCTGGGCCAGACCACCTCAACATAGCCATGGCGATTGAGAGCCATTGTTCAAATGCGCATGAGCAGTGAGACCGTGCAGGCGAAAAGAAGATGGACATGCTGGGCCCCTAGCAGAAGGCCGTTTCAGTACCTGGCTCTACTTCCTTGTTTCATTGGGATTGTAATAAGTTTTCTTTTAACCCTTCAAAGGTTTGTTCAAAAGAAATCAAAACCACGAAAACCTGAGTTTTTAGGGTCTCGCTAGCTGCTACATACCCATAGATACCATTATAATCATGTTAGAACCAAGCGTCAGAGGGTTTGGGGCACTGCTCATTTGGCTTCTGATCCATCAGTGCACTCAACTCCAGATTGGGGACGTGGCAGACTTTGGGGATTCATGTCCACCAACTCTTCAGGATAAACAAGCCGTACGCGCGGGGCGTGAGCACTGCCGCGTCGATCGGAAGCTTCGGCCTGGGCTTGGTGTCCGAGCGCCTTGCCAAGGTTCGAGTCCAAGCGGGATCTAGAAGGTGCGGGCTGAGACGTGTTTGGGATGGGATTCAACCGTCATCTAGTTATCAGTCGAACCGCTTCCTTTCTCGAGGTGCTCTTGGAACCCTGAAAGAGCACCAGAAAGCATTCGTAGCATCCAGAATTTGGATTTGCCCCGATAGATACACTGATACACATGTACCGATTGCACGCACCCATTCCGCTGACAGATCGCCAACAGGCATGACAAGAAAGTCGAAGCCAAAACCTGCCAGGATTGCAGGATGAATGTGCGGTTGGTTTCAGGTGGGTTTAGGGTTGGTTTGGGGCAAGTATGGGTTGGTTTAGGCTCGGTTTAGGGTGTGTTTAGCATCGGTTTGGGGTTGGTTTAGCGTTCATTGGAGTTCGGATGGGCTTAGGGGTGTGGGTTGATTTTGGCTTGCTTCGGGTTGGTTTTGGGCTAGCTTATGGTTGGTTTAGGGTGGGTGCGGGTGGGTTTGTTTGGGTTGGTTCAGGGTGGTTTGGTTTGGTTTAGGGGTCGTTTTGGGTAGTTTGGGTTTGGGTGTAGGTTGGTTTGGGGTTGTTTTGCGATTGGCTTAGGGTCACTTGAGGGTTGGTCTAAGGTTGGGTTGGGTTTTGTGCATTGCCGTATTACTCATTAGTATGGCGGTGTACTGGCGTATCGGCCCGCGACGTGGGCGTACTGATTCCGGCCACACATCCCCAACACGCTGAATGGTGCAAAGGGTACAAACGCCTGGCGGCGTTTGGGCGATTGGGAAAACCGAACGTGGCAGGTAACAAAGCGATGCACGGCCTGGAGACCATACTCAAGCACCAGTTTGGTGATGTCAGGCGTGGCAGTTGTTGAGCACATGGCTGGCTTGAGACAAAGTCACGCTCTTTTTCCGGTGATGCTGATATCATAGATTTGTCTTTTGCAATCGGAATTCTCATTCGCAGTTCGGCTAGAGCATAGGTTCGTCTTATGCTTGCCAGGGAAGGCCTGAAAGAAGGTGCAGATGAAAGAAAGGAGAGAGAGGAAATCGAGAACGAAGAAGAGGCAGGGATGGAGGCTGGAGGGAGCACTTGCGTGAGAGATCCGAAATGCCGTAGCTAAGGCGAGTCCCACCCGGACATCAGACTCGTTTGCGGAGGACAACGCACGTACAAGTGTACGGCAAAGAAGCGCGCAGGCATGTAGGTAGTTTAGACTGTTTGCTATCTCCATAACCATGTCAATTCATCGACGGCCAGCATCATGGTTTGACAATCGTGTTTTCACCCAGTTTTACAGCTAGCAACCATGTGGGTGTGCGTGTTGCCGAGGGTACTTTTTCGGGTTGAACAAAAAGGATGCCAACCAGTTTGGGGTTATTTTGAGACATACCCATGGTAGAAAGGAAACCCATGATACACTGGACCGCCTTGGGGCGACTACATGAACTCCAATTAGTTGAAGGTGCGCAAGTGGTAACGCGGTGTATTTGCCTGCACGTGTCCCAAGAATGTTCCCGCTATACGGTTTTCCGCTTTCTTTCTATGTGGGGTTGGTTTTCAGGGAAGCCATATTTGCAAGCCGCCAACAAAAGTGTGACTTGATGCTGCTCCATCATGCAAAGCGCACGCCGATTTACTGAGGCCTTCCTTCCCAGGTTTGGGTGTGAATCTGTTCGGAGCCCTTTTGAGGTGGGCCACAATCAAAGTCCGGGTACAATCAAAATCACTGGTTCTTGGTTCGAGACCATTTCAATAGCGATCGGTTTTGAGCAAGTGGCTCAGGTCGGGTTTCACGGGAGGCCCAGCGGACCCCGGGACTCCCTGGCAGTTTTGACGAGGACTTTGCGGCTTCGGCGCAAAGGATCCGCACCACGCAGAAACTGGTGAGCAGCGGGCCCTTTATGGGCTTCTTCCTGTTGCTGACTTTGCACCTTGGGGCCAAGGGGCGTTTTCGTGTCAGGCCGCTTTTTCAACCTCCAGTTTACCACAAAGCGGGTGGAGTCTTGGACAAAAGCATTTGCAATCCTAGGACTGGAGGCAGTAACCACTTGCTTTGTTATTCCCTGTGCTGAACAGCCATGCCCGGGGTTGGCAGTGCAGACCGGACGTGCTAAGCCGCTTAGGTACAGCTTCTATGCGCCTGACCTAGATGTGATGTTTGGCAGCAAAGAATCCGAAGTTGTGAAGCTTGGCTGAAGTTGATGATGTCAACGGAGTCTGGAAAGCTTCCACGCGATCAACTCTATCAAACTCTTGCAGGTGGCCATGATGCGAGCATTACACAACAGAGTGGCTCCCACGATAGTGTTTTTACAGAGTGATTTGCCGCCAATGGCGGAGTCCCTTGGCTTACATGCATCCTGATGTAGAATCCACTTTTGATCTATAGATCTGTTCAGCTGGGTGCAACTCAATGTAAGAAAGATGTTTGTTTGGCACACAGAAGGCGGTGATGGTGGGTTTGGTTTGATTGGACGTACCCAATGGCCTGAAAGCGCCACTTCCACCGGCTTTCGAAGAGAAGAGGAGGGTGATCGCCCTCCCATGATTTGCTATCAATTCTCAGTCCTGAGAGACGGGTGCGATCGATTTGCAAACCCAAGGGTCCTTCTTGGACCAGTCGCTCTTTGCTATGCTCATTGTGCAGGGGTGTGTGTGTGTGTGTGCGCGGAGTGTCAGATTAACCCTGACACAACTTTTTCACCTTGGACACGTTTCTCTTTCGGTTGAAGCAGGGGGCCCGCGAACAACTGCATGGCGCGGGCCAACGAAGACCCATCCAGTTTGCTGCGCAAACGTACCTGCAGAAGTGATCTATGGTCCTTTTGGTCCCCTCCCTGAGCCGCTGTTGCTTCCTTGACTCCCTGTTCAAGTTACTAGAGTGAAGCTTCACTGCAATGCCAGCTGCCTTCGAGTCCGTCTCGCCTTGTACTCGAAAACCATTCCACTCGAGACGTATTTGTTGCACTCGAAAGATGAGATCTCTCCTTCGGGAGTTGAAGAGTGATTACCCCGTTTCGGGGGACCCTCGGGGGTACCCATCGTGTGACCCCGGCTCTGCCGGAATATTTGACCTCAACGTTCTTATCACCGTTCAGCGGAATTTCATATTTAAGCAGACACGAGGTTTCACTACAGGGAAGACAGCCACTCAATCATAGAACGTCTCACTTGAGTCGCCTTGCTATTCCTGGACTATTCTGGCCGGCTTGCATCTGCTTTGCCATGTCTGGTTGTGAGCTTGTTTGGTTGCTTGTGTTCAAGGTTGATTTTGGTGATTCTTTGTCTCTACTTGCCATACCTCGCCGTGTTGAACGTGATCGCTCTCGTTTTTGGCATCGGAGAGAAAGAAGCTACACTCCACCTCACAAAGTGCGGCGGCGTGCGGAAGAGACCAGAACGCAGGAGGTGCAAGACTGGTCCGCTATGATGGGGTGGCAAAATTCTGCCAGTACACCATTTGTGTCTCAGAATCCTATGGCGTCCACACAGATGAACTACATGCCCGCACCACCTGCACCGTTCCTTCCTCCACCTGGGTTTCATCACTTTCCACCTTTGAATTTCACGCAGCCGGTGCCTGCTGCAACTTTCCCTCCAGACCCAGCTCCACGTGATCTCGGTCTACATCAGCCGTCTTCCAGTACGCCCGCAGATCCTCCAGCTCCTCAAGTCCCGGAAATTCCTCAAGTACGGCTTCCTGTTCATCAGGCCCAGCATTGGCTCCAACCTCCGACTGGATGGACGCCAGGTGATGGCATGTTGGATCGCAATCCGGTCTTTTCCTTTACGCTGCCTCAGACCGTTGCCAACACTCCCCACAACAACAAGCAGAACACCACGGGCATGGACATTCGTGAGGTACGCCTGATCCAGGTCATCCATGGTGGGATCTCAAACTGGCTCCTTCGACCGTTTGCCCACGGACGGCTTCAGAACACGCACTGAGGCGTTGTTGCTTCCTTGATTCCCTGTTCAAGTAACTAGAGTGAAGCTTCACTGCAATGCCAGCTGCCTTCGAGTCCGTCTCGCCTTGTGCTCGAAAACCATTCCACTCGAAACGTATATGTTGCACTCGAAAGATGAGATTTCTCCTTCGGGAGTTGAAGAGTGTGTGTGTGTGTGTGCGCGTGTGTGTGTGTGTGTGTGTGTGTGTGTGTGTGTGTGTGTGTGTGTGTGTGTGTGTGTGTGTGTGTGTGTGTGTGTGTGTGTGTGTGTGTGTGTGTTTTTGAGGGTGCCTTGTTGGGGTGTTTTGTTTGTCGGGGGGGAGCCAGAGGGAGAACGAATCATTGTTGTGCCAGGATCAGCATCACTATGACGCTGACCTTGGCGCTGTTCCTTGTGGAACTGGTCTTGAACTCCATGGCCAAGCCGGCCTACATCTGCCGCTTCTCCTTTTGGCTGGACCTGGCAGCCTCGCTGCTCGGATGTCTGATCGATTTCCGTGGCCTAAGATGAAGCGGGTCTCATGCACCGCAAACTGTGAGTGCAAAAAGTTGTAGTAAGGGGTAACTTGCAGAGAGATGGTTCCACAAAGAAGCTTGCACAACACTTGCACAGAGAAGCACGTGCCGAGAGATCTGCCAGAGAAACTTGCTTCGAGAACTTGCGGGGTCCAACTTGCGAAGAGAAGCTTGCACAGACAGCTTGCGCAGAGACACTTTGGAGGTCTTGCGCGCAGAAGCTGAGAGACTCTTGCAGCCAAGACTCGAAGACTTGCAACACTGAAGCATCAGAGAAGGATATGGCCATGTTTTTTTTTTTTTTTTTTTTTTTTTTTTTTATCAGGGACCCTTTTGTGGACATGAGTTGGGTGGAGATTGATGTCCACCAACCACTTCTCAGGGGGTTCCAACCATGAAAATTCATAGCCATATACATAAATCCGTTTTGTGGCGCGAAAAAAGAAAGAGCCTCGCCTCTCCTGAGCCTCGCCTTGTAGGCACACGTGCAAACACGACGCCTGAAGTCAACGGGCATTCGTTATGCTTGCCGGGACACGCGTGGTTTTTTTGGGGTGCCCCTATTGTGACGTAGGCCCAGTTGTCGTGAAACAAGGGCTCCCCGAGGCTGTCGCTGCTCCCAGAAACCATCATGTGGAAGCAGCTTCTTAGCTCCAACTTCATTGCCAGCAGCGATGAGAGCCTCACACGCTTCCTGCTGCCCGGCAAAAGAAGCTTGAGATTCAGTCGGTGGGTTGTTGTGGGATGATTGTTTTTACTGGACAACTGGACACCAGTAGGAATACCATACATTTGTTGGTTGTCTGGATTTACGACACATCCTTTGGAACAGCTCGTGGAGACTTTGAGCGTTCCAGTCCGATGGAAGCATGTGGATATTTGAGCTGTGAGGCATTGCAAAGTCTCACTTCAGCCCAGCTGAATCTCCTTTGTGTCTTGTCGACCCCGGATTTGTTTCTACTCACGTACAAGAGGGGCTCATTCACTTCAGGGGCAAGAACCCATCTCCAAGCCACCGGTGACTTCCCTCCTGCGGAAAAAATCGGCAGGATGCTGGCGGCGCGGTCCTCGCGGGCGTCTCGCCTGCAGCGGCTCACGCGGCTCATGCGCATCGCCGCGCTGCTGCCGCGGATCACGGGTCTGCTGCAGAGGGGCAACAGGCGCTTCGCTCTTCCCCAAAATGCAACGGGGAGCGGGATCAAGATTTGGCAAGGGCGAATGGCGAATTCAAAGTGACAGAAGGATGGAAGGCCCAGGTCATTATGGATACAGGTGAGAAAAGCATGCTGGCAATGCGGTTTCAGGCACGCTTTGTTGGTGCTGAAAATTGGTGATTGTGGATTTGAACCCCTGGTTCTTGTAGAGGGTTAATGGGAAACCACCAATCCAAACCACGAACTAGAGGGAAAGGGAAGCTGATAGTCTGGATGACATGCAGAAGAGCAGCAAGAACAACGACATCCAGTTCCCCTTTTTTCCTCGTCTTCTTCTTTTCATGATCCGCTCTTGATTGGTTGCACCGTTTGAGTTCCCAAACCAGGCAAAGCACTTCAACTGTGACAATTGTCTTTCTCACGTGCCTTAGGATACGAAGAGCACGCATGTGAAAGAAGTGGGATACCCAAGAGCAAGCAGTTTGAGTCCGGAGAGAATTCTAGATAGAGCAATGTCCGTCGATCATATTTGCGGCAGCAGGAGTGTTGACATGTCTTGGTTTGACCTGGGGGGTTAAAATCCCCCAACGGATCACATCGCGCGCACATCGCACATGACACCAGGTATGTTTTTGTTTGGTCCCACAGGTCTGGTCTTTCAAGCCGCTTGCAGGCAACTGGAAGAGGATACACAGAGGTTGCTGAACAAGAAGCTGCATCGCATCTTTGCCTTCCTAGACACGGAGCGCTGCCCTGACACTAGCTGAGCTCTGATTAAAGTGATTGTCTCCAGGCAAGCCAGCAAACCCAGAGCTCTTTATGTGTTGTGAAATTGCCGACCGGCTACTGGCTGCATGCATGCCAATGTCCTACCAGAAGCAGTGTCCTCATGCTGCCTGCATCCATGTGGCAAAACATACTTGTACGCATCGTGTAGTCGACATACTGTAGCACCCCTGAGGTCCAGGTTTGTCGTTTCTACGGCATCTTCACGCAGTGACTCCTACTTTCATTTTCCCTCCAAGCTGACCAACGGGCCGGCAGGACTATGATGGCAAAATCTCCGACCGTAACATGAACGCGGTTCTGGACAGGTTGGACAACGCTACCGCCGCCAGGCCACTTGCGATGTGGGAGACATGAGACATTTGAGCCGGCTTTCTTCATGGCACAAGGAAAAGGAACATGGATTCTTGTGACACTCATAGCACCAGGATCCTAAAAGCCACGCCAACGTGCTTTGTTTTGCTACCATTCCTTTGTCACTGCTGGGATTTCGAGGTGTCAGACTGATGCCTTGGGCTCTTGTGGGACTCGTGTGTGACGTCGTGTCCTTCTGTTTGGGGAGTTTGATGTCCGCTTTTGAGTTGCCGTGACCACGTGTCTTTTAAGTCATTTTGCGAGCGATCCATCCGGCCAGGAAGAGTTCGATGGTATCGGCGAGGGGCAGCGTGTTTCAGAGCATCTCCTTTTTCTCCTCCGGCAAGATCTCCTTTAGGACTGAGATGCTGATCATTTTGACTGCCAAATTTGTACGTGGGACTGAAGATGTGTTGATTTCAATCAAATGCCGAAAAGCATGTCGCTGACGGGCTGGATGTTGCACTTGCTTGATCCTTTGCTGTTTGTTTGCCTGTCTTCCTGTCTGTCTGTCTCTCTGGCTGTCTGTCTAGCTGGCTGTCGGTCTGTGGTCTGCTGGTTTGTGGGGTCTGTCGGCCTGTCTGTCTGTCTGTGGGTCTGTGGGTCTGTCAGTCTGTCGTGGGTGTGGGTCTGTGGATCTGTGGGTCTGTCGGTCTGTGGTGTGGGTCTGTCGGTGCCGGTCAGTCTGTCTGCGTGTCTGCCTGCCGCTTGCCTGCCTGTCTGCCTGACTATTTTGCTACGTTGTTCCGTGCCGTAGGAAGCAAGATGCAGCGACTCTTTGCAAACGATAAGCAAGTTTGAGCATGCGCTGTATCAACAGTTCTGGCTCGAGCCTGCTGTGAAAAGAGACGCACCGCAGCTCTTAACCTACTCTGTCTAGTGCAGCTTGTTTCAGTGCTTCAACATACAGCTTGGTCTCTTGAGTTCCTTCGCGCGCCTACCAGCACCTGATCTGCAGCCTACTGATGTGCACGCCTTGTTTCCTGGGCAGAACCATCTCAACTGTACCAGGGATTCCGAATGGTCTTGGCCAAATCCTCGAACTCGCATCCCACTGATTGCGAGGTTTGGTCAGACTATCCAGTAGTCCAAAGACCTAGAGAGTGGAAATTGGTCTCGCCCGATTCCAACAGCAGGGGACGGATTCATTTTCCGGGTCTGGTGGTTTCGAGTTCATCCACCAACAGTTTCAATCTAGCGGGGGATTTGAGGTCCCTACCACATTTTGACGGACCTTTTTCGAGTGGAATCGCAGGAGCAGCACCGTGCTGGCGCGGCCAGACAGCGACTCCGAGGATGGGTGAAGCGAGCGTGCGGATGTTGGCTGTGGCGACCAAAATGGGCCCCTGGGTAGAAGGAACCAAGGACTAAAGCCTGCGCAAAGCACCCTAGCTCCTGAATTTTGAGCCACAGCTATACTGGTATATTGCATGTTTGAGATGTCAGCGAAAAGCACACATCGACACCCTCGAAATCAGGAAGATGCTACGAGAATTGCCAGCTTTGCAGGAGGAACGAGACAAGCCGGTGCACTTGAAGAGCCTAAAGGCTGGAGCCGGAGGGTTGGGATCTCGATTCCCGGACAGATTTGTGGGTCCCCGAATGGTTTCCTTGGGCTTCGCTTTGAAAACAAAGAGAGAAAGCGGTTCCGAACCAACTGGAGCGACTTCCCAGACCTGTTGCTCAGATCCGGCTTCGAGCTTTTCAGGCAGAAGTCTCGGATGGCATGCCCATGCAGAGCAAGCAGCTGCGCTTCTCTGAGGACGTCGGATGTTTCGCCCACGAGGGTTGAGCCGGGCTTTCTGATGAGGGAACTCCCCTTCTAGTCACGTATCACAGAAATGCACATTTTTCAAGGGGTGCTTGTGGATTTCCATCGCTTGTCCGCAAAACGGTTCGGTCTGCCACTGGCATCTCGCCGCCTTGCTTGCACGGCTCGAGAGCAAGCATTGTTACACATGTCAGCATCCTGGCTCAGGGTGGAAGTAGATAGTAGATGGTGCAATGCCCGGCAAGCAAAGGGTATGACTAGGCCAAGAGAATCTGCTTTGTCTTGATTGTCCGTATTTGTGTCTGGCGCCCATTAGAGTGTCTGGAATTCAACTATCTGATTGCGCTGGGGGTACGGAAGTGGTCACATGGGCTGAAAAAGGGCCTGTGGAGGAAGGGTTGCAGCGTGCCTCTGACACATTGCTAGTTTTGTCAAACAATAAGGCATTGCAGTTGCCCAAGTGAGAATCAACTCTAGAAAATCTGTTGCGAGGTTGCATAGCTCCATCATTTTGCACTGCATGCCCTGGTCGTGTCATTCAGACCTTCAGATCAATATGGGTGTGTCCTTTTCGGGGACCCCCAAAATGGTGTTTTGTCTTTTGGTTTCCTTGAAAACCACCCAACAAAAAGGGGTGCCCTCGAAAAAAGAGGGGGGAAAAATCACGAGCCACCCGTTTCAAGCAAGAATGAGTAACCCGTTTCAAGGCACCCCCCGAAATCCACGGAGGAGCTCCAGGAGCAGCTCAGCGGGGACTTCTCCCCGGGGGTGATGGTGCCAATGCCGCCGGAGGCGACAGACGGACCTGCGCAGTGGTGCAGTGAGAACCGAAAAGCCGGGAGTTGGTGGGCGTCAGAGTTTTGCATTTTTTTTTGCTGGTTTTCCGTTTTGGGATCCCATTTTGGGTGAAAACCAATGGGATCCCATTTGGGGATAGGTGCACCACCCATTTTAGAACCAATTTTAGTGGGGATTGGGATGTTCACTGGGGGGGCCCCGGTCAGGTTCCCGTTTGGCATTCTTGCAAGCTGGCTCAAGCGGCTTCTTTTCCTCAGACTTTCTGGCGAAGCGGGTTGTTTGGAGGATTTGTCCGAGCATTGCTTCCATACCTCAGTGCAACTGCAAAACCTCCAGCCTTTTGTGCGAGCACCTGTGTAGGCTTTCAGCACCCCGCAGCCGCCGCCGCCACAGCCGCCGCTGCCACAGCCGCAGAATGATTTTCGTGTAGACGCACGGTCGCAAGTGGCAGTGAGACGCCTCTGTGAGTCCTGCATCGAAATTGCAACTCTGAATCTCTCAAGGCTTGAGCAAGCGACTTGAAATTTGTGGCCAGTGCGATGTGAGAAAGAGGGCCGTCCTGGGGTTTTTTGGTTTTCGCTTCTCTTGCAGGAAGCCGCACATAGCGACCAGGGGGAGATGGGCGAGGACGGAACCAGAGAGATGCCCAGAGGGATGAACATGCCATGCCGTGCTCCGGTTTTGACACAAAATGCACCCGTAGCCAGCCTAAGTGTTTAACTCGAGATAGCCGAATTCTTGGCGATGATTCTCTGGCTCAATGTTGGGCAAGTGGCCCAAATGAAAGCGACTGCCTTGACAAGAAGTGGGGCTTGGCTCTTTCATCATTCTCTACTGGGGTTGTTGAAGCAGGAGCCAGTGGCAACAGTTCAGGAGGGTCGTTAGATTGAAGCAGCTCTTTTTGGAGCACAAATCAAATGCCCCAAGAATGCAGATGTCGCTTTTGGTTTCCCTTTGAACCAAACTGAAAAGGGCTTATGTCGAAGCCTCGCAAGAACCAGGAACCATGACTTATCGGCATATTGCAACCTTCATTTTCTTTGCTTGAAGTGCGTCTGAAGCACCAAGCTCCAAGCTCCAGCAAGCTGCGTTTCCAGGATCTGAGGCGCACTGAGAGCGAGGTCAGCGTGGCGCGGGAATCCACCATGGGGCGCGAGGACAGCCTGCCGTTTCATGCGGCTTGACCCATCCGGGGTCTGGCGATGAATGAAGAAACCTTCAAAGCGGTTGGTGGACATGGATCCCCAAATGACGTCCACCAAAGGTCCCTAGTTAGAGTTCAGACTCATGTGAGGCTCCGGACTTCATATTTTTTTGGGTTCGAAGGGAAGCCAATAACCGCTATTTCTTTGTGGGGTCCCCTATTTTGACACGAGGGCAAACCTGTTTGGTCTGGGATGTGCTCGCAGCAAGGCATGGTCGGGACGTTCACTCGGCCCCTTCCCTTGGTCCTTGAAGCGCTGAGAAAGCCCAAAGTGGGTCGGGCAAGATGTGTTCCCCTGGTCAGTTTTCGTTTTTTTTGAAAGAGTGGCTTTGATCTATACATTTTGTCGAGATGCCGAGCATCTCAGATGCTGTCTTTTGTTGGAAGCCCAGGTTTGCAGAGCATGATGCGAAGAGATGTGGCTGTTTCGAGTTGAGTGAAGTCACATGCTATTTCAGATTGGTGTCGACTTTGATTTAACTAAACAGGTTGCTGAGCCAGTGGCTGGGTACCGGGCCAGCCTGACAATTGACCTTACAGTACATGCGAGAAGCTTTGTTGGACTTAGTCGGGCACTTTGGTGGCTATTCAGTGTCTTTTTTGCAATGGTGCGTTCGGCAAACGAAGGCTTCTGGGGAGTCTGTTGTCCAGTGACTAGTGCTCTGCAAAGTGTTGAAGGGACGGATGGCTGCTCGCAGAGTCGATATTTTGGTCACGTTTTGCCTGGTGCCCAGATTTGGATTAGCACTAGCCAAGGATCGCGATAACTCTCACAAGAGCACCAAAACATCTGTGTTCTCCTGTCTCTCAGACGCTTGGCTGAACTGGGGATGTGAAGTGCATCATTTGTCCTTTGGGGCAATTACAGGTTCTGCAGGCGCCTGTGAGATCGTCCGATCAAGCAATCGTCTCCCTCCCTGTGCAGATGTTGCCCGCTATCCTTGCTCAATTCCCATTGACGTTGAGTTTTTATCTGAGGCTTGTGAATCCTGTAGCTTCAGATCAAGGGCCATGCGGATTCAGTGAGGTGGCTTTCCACATCAGTTTTCTCCATTGCACTGCCTGCTTTTGCTTACGATGACTTGGGCTTTCTCCGAGCTGAGATTGAGCCAACTCCTGAAAAGGGGGCTGTGCCTATGCAGCCTGTCAAGAAGCTGTCGGAAGGAGCATGTCCCGTGGTTGTGTCACATCTTGGGTTTAAGCCTTGATGTAGCGCTTGTTTGGAATTGTGGGCACTGGACAATCCTGCGTGCCTAGGTCCTCTATATTTATGGGCTGCCGCCCTGTGCCGCCGACCCCTGGGGGGGTGGAAAGGCACCTGGCGAGTTTTCAGCTTGGTTCGCCTGCCGTGGCTTGAAGCAAATCCCTTTCCCAAGCCCAGATGCGTTTTCTACGGGACTAAAGACTAGGGAGTCTTCCGACCTGAAAGGGCATGAGTATAACATGCCACCTCCGTGTGGGCGATTTCCCGAAAGAGATGTTTCGACCGCGCCATCCCGTGCAGCGACGAGGTGCAAGCGGATCGGAAGAGGGAATGCTCTGTGCTAAAAGTTGCCTGAGTCTACGCGGCTGGCTTGTGACTGCAAGCCGATCGGAAGAGCGAATGCTCTGTGCTAAAAGTTGCCTGAGTCTACGCGGCTGGCTTGTGACTGCGAGCGGATCGGAAGAGGGAACGCTCTGTGCTAAAAGTTGCCTGAGTCTACGCGGCTGGCTTGTGCCTGCAATCGGATCGGAAGAGGAGCCGCTCTGTGCTAAAAGTTGCCGGAGTCTACGCGGCTGGCTTGTGACTGCAAGCCGATCGGAAGAGCGAATGCTCTGTGCTCAAAGTGGCCTGAGTCTACGCGGCTGGCTTGTGACTGCCAGCTGATCGGAAAATGGAACGCTCTGTGCTAAAAGTTGCCCGAGTCTACGCGGCTGGCTTGTGACTGCAAGCTGATCGGAAGAGGAAATGCTCTGTGCTAAAAGTTGCCTGTGTCTACGCGGCTGGCTTGTGACTGCAAGCTGATCGGACAGGGAATGCTCTGTGCTAAAAGTTGCGTGAGTCTACGCGGCTGGCTGTGACTGCAAGCTGATCGGAAGAGGGAATGTTTTGTGTTAAAAGTTGCCTGAGTCTACGCGGCTGGCTTGTGATTGCGAGCGGATCGGAAGAGGGAACGCTCTGTGCTAAAAGTTGCCTGAGTCTACGCGGCTGGCTTGTGACTGCAAGCCGATCGGAAGAGCGAATGCTCTGTGCTAAAAGTGGCCTGAGTCTACGCGGCTGGCTTGTGACTGCAAGCTGATCGGAAAATGGAATGCTCTGTGCTAAAAGTTGCCTGAGTCTACGCGGCTGGCTTGTGACTGCAAGCTGGTCGGAAGAGGGAATGCTCTGTGCTAAAAGTTGCCTGGGTGTACGCGGCTGGCCTGTGACTGCAAGCTGATCGGAAGAGGAAATGCTCTGTGCTAAAAGTTGCCTGTGTCTACGCGGCTGGCTTGTGACTGCAAGCTGATCGAAACAGGGAATGCTCTGTGCTAAAAGTGGCCTGAGTCTACGCGGCTGCTTGTGACTGCAAGCTGATCGGAAGAGGGAATGTTTTGTGTTAAAAGTTGCCTGAGTCTAGGCGGCTGGCTTGTGACGGCAAGCTGATCGGAAGAGGGAATGCTCTGCGCTAAAAGTTGCTTGAGTCTACGCGGCTGGCTTGTGACTGCAAGGTGATCGGAAGAGGGAATGCTCTGTGCTAAAAGTTGCCTGAGTCTACGCGGCTGGCTTGTGACTGCAAGCCGATCGGAAGAGCGAATGCTCTGTGCTAAAAGTTGCCTGAGTCTACGCGGCTGGCTTGTGATTGCGAGCGGATCGGAAGAGGAAATGCTCTGTGCTAAAAGTTGCCTGAGTCTACGCGGCTGGCTTGTGACTGCAAGCGGGTCGTGAGTCTACGCGGCTGGCTTGTGACTGCAAGCCGATCGGAAGAGCGAATGCTCTGTGCTAAAAGTGGCCTGAGTCTACGCGGCCGGTTTGTGCTGTTTCTTTTTCGAAGCGCAGCAGCACCCCTTTTTTTGGGAAGCGCCTTTCGAGTTAAGACATGTTAGTGTTTTTTCAAGACGTGGTAGTAGCAGCTTTTTTTTGTCGACATGTGGCAGTACCCATGTTTTGGGAAGCGCCTTTCGGCTTAACTCATGTCAGTGTTTTTTGAAGACGTGGTAGTAGCAAGTGTTTTTTCGACATGTGGCAGCACCCATCTTTTGGGAAGCGCCTTTCGGCCTAAAGTACGTGTTTTCTGTTTCCAGACGTGGCAGCACCAATTTTGATACATATTCGATATAATATAGTATAAGATTATATGGTTACAGGCACACTTTTTGTTACAGACACACATATCATCGCAGCATCCTCTGCATTACAAAAGCTGCCGATGACTGTCATGATGCGTTACCAATACCGCAAAACCAAAAAATCATGATGATCATACGGATCACGATGATAGGGATAACAATCACGATGACGATGATGAAGGCGATGGCTGTGATGACAATCATCATGAAGATGATAAGGATGATGACTCTTATGAAAACTCTCATCGCAGCATCCCCTGCATTGCCAAAGCTACGGATAACTGTCAGGATAACTATCATCGTAGCACCCTCTGCATTACCAAGGGTGCCTAACGCCATTTTTGAAATCATGATGACGATGATGACTATAAAAGTAGAAGAAAGAGATGATGATGACAATGATGATGACGATGATGATGGTGATAACTATGATGACAATCATGATGACAGTGATAACTATGATGACAATCATCATGAAGATGATAAGGATGATGAATTTTATGATAACTATCATCGTAGCATCCTCTGCATTGCCAGAGCTGCGGATGACGTTTATGATAATTATCATCGTAGCATCCTCTGCATTACCAAGGGTGCCTAACGCCACATTTGAAATGTATGATGACGCTGATGACTATGATGACAATCATCATGAAGATGATAAGGATGATGACTCTTATGAGAACTATCATCGCAGCACCCTTTGCATTGCCAAAGCTGCGGATGACTGTCATGATAACTATCATCGCAGCATCCTCTGCATTACCAAGGGTGCCTAACGCCACATTTGAAATGTATAGAAGAAAGAGATGATGCTGGTAATCATGATGAAGATGATGACGGTGATGACTATGATGAAGATGATAAGGATGATGACTCTTATGATAACTATCATCGTAGCATCCTCTGCAGTACCAAAGCTGCGGATGACTGTCATGATAACTATCATCGTAGCATCCCCTGCATTACCCATGCTGCAGAAGCAGAGATCATGATGATCATACGGATAACGATGGTAAGGATAACAACCACGATGACGATGATGAAGGCGATGACTGTGATGACAATCATCATGAAGATGATAAGGATGATGACTCTTATGATAACTATCATCGCAGCATCCCCTGCATTCCCAAAGCTACGGATAACTGTCATGATAGTTATTATCGTAGCACCCTCTGCATTACCAAGGGTGCCTAACGCCGCATTTGAAATGTACAAAAGAAAGAGATGATATGATGATGACAACCATGATGACGATGATGAAGGCGATGACTATGATGACAATCATCATTAAGATGAAAAGGATGATGACTCTTATGATAACTATCATCGTAGCACCCTCTGCAGTACCAAAGCTGCGGATGACTGTCATGATAACTATCATCGTAGCATCCTCTGCATTACCAAGGTTGCCTCAGCCACATTTGGAATGTATAGAAGAAAGAGATGATGAGGACAATCATGATGACGATGATAAAGATGATGACTATGATGACAATCATCATGAAGATGATAAGGATGATGACTCGCAGGACAACTATCATCGTAGCATCCTCTGCCGTCGTGACAACTATCATCCCAGCATCCTCTGCCTTACCGAAGCTGCCGATGACTGTCATGATAACTATCATCGTAGCATCCCCTGCATTACCAATGCTGCAGAAGCAGAGATCATGATGATCATACGGATAACGATGATAAGGATGACGATTGTCACAAAAAGTATCGTCGCAGCATCCTCTGCATTACCAATGGTGCCTAACGCCACATTTGAAATGTATAGAAGAAACAGATGACGATATCAATCACGATGACGATGATGAAGGCGATGACTGTGATGACAATCCTCATGAAGATGAAAAGGATGATAACTCTCATGACAACCATCATCGTAGCATCCTCTGCCGTCATGATAACCATCATCGTAGCATCCTCTGCGTTACCAAAGCCGCCGATGACTGTCATGATAACTATCATCGTAGCACCCCCTGCGTTACCAATGCTGCAGAAGCAGAGATCGTGATGATCATTTGGATAACGATGATAAGGATAACAATCACGATGACGATGATGAAGGCGATGACTGTGATGACAATCATCATGAAGATGATAAGGATGATAATTCTCATGACAACCATCACTGCAGCATCCTGTCATGATAACTTTCATCGTAGCATCCTCTGCATTACCAATGCTGCAGAAGCAAAGATCATGATGATCATGCGGATAACGATGATAAGGATGACGACTGTCATGATAAGTATCATCACAGCGTCCTCTGCATTACCAATGGTGCCTAGAAGAAGCAGAAGAAAGAGCTGATGACAATCACGATGACGATGATGAAGGCGATGACTGTGATGACAATCATCATGAAGATGATGAGGATGATAACTCCCAGGGCAACTATCAGCGTAGCATCCTCTGCCGTCATGACAATTATCATCGCAGCATCCTCTGCATTACCAAAGCTGCCGATGACTGTCATGATATCTATCATC